CAATTTGAAGCTGAGGTACAAGCACCAGAGCGCCGACGGATATGATTTGGTGCATTGGTTGGGTGGACGAGTGTTTTGTAAGTTTGGTTTTCAATTTTCAACTTTAACATGTAGGGTTAGAGTTAGGTTACTGAGTTAAATGTTTACTATTAATGTTAATTGGACCAGAATTTTGGGGAATCTCAATTGTCAAAATTGTCCAATTAATTTTGGGAAAGAATAATTAAAAGCTCAATTGTCCAATTAATTTTTTTTAATGGGTAATCGGTTCGGGGTGGGGTACTGTCTCTAAATACCATCCCGCCCCGCCCCCACCCGAACCGGGTCATTAAAAGCAAAACCACCATATTGCACCATTGATTCAATTTTTTTTCACCCCATTTGATTAATCGCGATTTTCGATTTTAACAGTTCGAATTGTCGTCCCTAATCGCGTGAGGGGAATATATTGGATCTCTATCGAGAGAGACTTTCAATTAAATTAGGAGCATTGACTAATATGAATTTTTTCAAATTGTCGCTTTAATTGTCACACTAAAAATGGAATAACAAGGGATTTAACATTTTGACAATGCATCTCATATATTTGAAAAACACTTTTAATTGCTTTTACTACTTTAATTGATAATTTAGGAATTAGTATAGAAAAATCACAATAACGTGTTTGCTATTCGATTGAAGTTGCAATTAATTTTAACTCGATCAAACAAAGAGTTCTCGTGAGTTCACACTCTATTCATCATTATATTACTTGACGACAACCTCATGCGCATATGAGTTTTCAAAGGAATAATAAAAGGTATTGAATACTCGTACTTGGAAAGCATTAATTTCTTTTCTCCAAATAACGCAATAATTTGTGCAAGCGAATTGTCAAATCAGATAGGTTGAACTAAGGTTAACTGATTTAAGAATAAATGGTTTTTTCTCTTCACTGTCTTATAAATGTGTGGTTTTAGGTTTTATAGTTTGATTTTTGGAAATGCGAAGTGTGTGATTGTGTGAACATTCATTTATCAGAGTTCGCCGCAAAATGATGTAATTGTTGGGATATGTGCCCCCAATTGTATTAGATCCATGGCTATCAAATAATGGCTGATAACTCCTTTTGAGACTGTCATGGCTATATGTTCGATTCTCATTATTTTCAAAATATATTTTTTTCTTTCTTCTTCTCAAACACTACACGTTCTTCAATAAAATAATATTACACGTGAATATAAAACATTTTCTTATTTTTCAACCATAAATTTATTATTTCAAAATGCATTTTTTTAAGAAAAAATGAGGCTCAAACGAGAACAAATGAAAGACACTTTCCATATATCATAAGGAATCTATTCTATACCTAGTGTACAAGCTAACTAGCATCATACACCTTCTTCATAATCATTTCTTTTCTTGAATGTCAAGTAATATAGCAATTCATCAATCTTCATTCCCATTCAACTTTTCTGCGCATGAACATGAACAAATTATTCTTTTCTTTCCACTTGCCAAAGACTCAAAAACATTCCAATAACAACCCATTAATGGCTACATAAATATAGCTACTCTCCAAAATGAACTCTGATCATCAACATCATAAACTTTTTTACCTTTTATTATTAGCAGCCAGAAAGAGTAAAAATGAGATCCCAGAATGAACTACCCATTCAATCCACGGCCGGAAACCACCCCATGAAGCGGCACCACACGGCGGGTTACTACGCTCGCCGGGTGAAAGAAAATCTAACCACCAGAGTTTTTAAGCTAATTTGTGCCATATTTTTAACCATGCTATTTCTAGTAGGCATTCTCACATTCGTTTTATGGCTCAGTTTGCGTCCTCATCGGCCGAGATTTCACGTACAAGAATTATCAATCCCGGGTTTAGGACAAGGAAACAGATCTGCGAAGGCTCATATAATCTTCAATGTAACCGCCCGTAATTCTAACCAGAATGTTGGGTTTTATTACGATGCAATAAAGATTACAGTGAATTACCGAGATCAAAGTATAGGTGGGGAAACATTGGCATTTCCATTCTATCAAGAGCCAAAGAACACGACAATTCTGGCCGGTATACTTGGTGGCAATTCTTTAAGAGTGACGGCTGGTCAGTGGCGACGGCTCGTGGCAGACCGTTGGCGAGGAGTGGTGGTTTTCAGCATCGAATTATCTTCGACCATTCGGTTCAAAATATCGACATGGAAAAGTAAGCGCCATAGGATACACGCTACTTGCCCAGTTGCTGTTGGTGCAGATGGGTCGATATTGGCTACAGATAAAGATAAAAGTTGTCAAGTTTACTTTATCTAATTTTCGGCCATGCTTAAGAACGATATTTATTATTATTATTTTATTTATCTATTTGGGTGTTCTGAGAATGGTTCATTTGCTATGGCTCGAGGCTGTGATACTTTACTTTCTGAGATGGTCCAAATAGTTTGTATTCATTGTTAGAAAATAAAAAACTTTTGAGTCACTTTATTTGTTAAAACTGTCTTCAATATATTTGCTGATGTGTAGATAGAATTTATTTTTAATAAGAAGTGTACACTACACAATTTACAAAAAGGGAAAAT